CCGTTCCCCCCACCCCCGCCCCCTCCCGGCCCCGGCCCCGGCCCCGGCCCCGGCCCCGGCCCCGCTCCCCCCGCGCCCCCGCACCTGCCCCGCGTCCGCCGCTCCCGCCGCTCCGCCGCCCGCCCTCGTGGGGGGCGGCACCGCCCCGCCGCGTCTGGCCCCGCCCCTCCCGCCGCCCATTGGCCGCGCCGCCCGCCTCTCGCGCCGCATGCAAATGACGAGGGCGCCGCGCCATCCCTATTGGCTGCAGAGCCGGCCGAGCCCAGCGCGAGGACCCGCCCTGCGCGGTGCGGCACCATCGCCCTAGTAACCCGATGTTGAGCCGGGCGCGACCACCCGCGGTGGAGGGGGGAGGCTGCCGCTGCCGCCGCTGCTTCCGTCCTGTCGCCGCCCCCCGAGCCGGTGCGGAACCACTCCAGGGTCGTCTCGCCTTTGGTTGTCTCCGCTTTCAGCCGGCGATGGGCCGCGGGAGGTGGGCGGCGGGACGGCGAGCGGCAGTAGCGCGTCCATTTCCCCCTAGGGCCGGCGCGCGGTTGGTTGGGCCCGAGAAGATGGCGTCGGGGCGCGGTGAGTGAGCGGGGGGGTGCGGGCTCTGAGGGACGGGGCCAGTTCCAGTCTCGTTCCCCCGCACCGGGAGCCCCTAGCTGCGTGGGCGGGCCGCCACGGGCCAGCCCTGCCATGGCTGTACTCGTGCGCATCCCCAGGCGGGTGCGGGCCGGGCCGGGCGTGGGCAGCGGCCGTCCCCACCCACGTGTGGTTGTTGCGCGGGGCTGTGTGTGCTGACTGTGCGGGGTCCGTGTGGCTGTGTTCCCGCAGGGTGCGCGTCCCCTGGTGTTCCAGCCTCGCGCCCGCCGTAGCTGGCGCCGGGAGGCAGCGGCGACCCCCGGGAGGCGATGGGCGACTGGGACCAGGTGTTCCGGCAGTACCTGCCGCTGCCGCCGCACCCTCAGCGGGGCCGGGCCCGGCCCCCGCCCCGCTCCACCGCCTTCCGCTGCGTCCTCAAGTACCTGCACGGCGCTGCCCTCTCCCAGGTAGGGGCGATCGGCCCCGCGAGGGGACCCGGCAATGTCTTGCTGCACCTGTTGTTTCTGCTGAGTCTCACTATTCATAGAATCATGAAATAGTTTGGGTTGGAAGGGACCTTACAGATAATCTCCTTCCACCCTCCTGCCATAGGCTACCTTCCACTAGACCAGGTTGCCCTTTCCAACCTGCTGGCTTTGAATGCTTCCAGGGATGGAGCAGCCGCAGCTTCTCTGGATGACCTGTGCCAGTGCCTCACCACCCTAACAAGAAAGAATTTCTCCCTAAGAGCAAATCTAAATTGCTCCTCTTTCAGTTTAGCCTCCCCTCCTGCTTATTCTGTCACTTTCTGTGGGTGTACAAAGTCACTCCCCATCTTTTTCTAAGACCCTTTCAGCATTCCTGTCCATGTGTGTGGGCCTGAGCTCCCAATGGTGGCTTTTAAAACAAGGTGGTTTTGGGGAGAACTAACTAGAAATCTCCTGGAAGCACAAAGTTCTTTCAATCCCATGCCTTATTACCTGTAAATCTGAGTTGAATTAATTTTTCATTTGGCTTTTTGTTAGTTTAGGTAAGTATATTTAAATTGAATTTTCTGGATAGCACTTTAACATCAACTGCTTCTTTATTCTATGCTTAATGCTCAATTTTCCCACTTTTCCTTTGCTCTGTCAGCCTCTGGCTTGCCAGCAGGTCCTGCAGCAATGCATGAAGCTGTCTGTGACCATGTGCCTGATTCGGGCATCCCTTAGGAAACAGGAACTTTATCTCATACTAGAGTGTATCCTGAGCTTTGGGGACACAGAGCTGACCTGTCCCCGAGCATTCCCAAAGCCAGTGCTTTGTGCCTTGCAGGGAGCCGAGTACCAGCTGCGCCTCTCTCTTTTCGATGCCACCTACCACCACTTCTTTGGGAGGACGTGGAGGAGCAGCTGGCGAGTTGCCAGTGCTGCCCCGCCACGCTCGGCCAGGGCGACGTTCTGTGAGGTGAGGGCTGCCAAGGGTCTGGGAAAACGCCCATCACTTTCCCAGTGCTTCCTGACTTTTTCCCCAGGGTGCATCCCAGACACTGCCCATTTATTAAGCTTTATGTATGGTTTATTGGGGAAACTGGGGTGCTGGGTTTCCTTTGAGGCTGGTGCCACCGTGGGAGCAGCGATGTGCCACCACCTGCCACCTGCTGTGTTCGGAGCTGGCGGCAGAGAGCAGTGTTTCCCCACAAGTGGGAAAGAAGGGAAGGAGCAGCTGCCCACCCTCCTGCACAGCGCTTCTCTCTGCTTATCTGGGAGCTAAACTCTTCCAAAGCCATGTTTCCATCCGCTGCCGATACCAGCAAACCAGGGTGTCCCTTAGTGGGGAGATTCCTGCTGCCCCATAGCATGACCCATGTTTCCCAATTCATAGCTCCTGTTTCCACTTCCTCAGTAACGCAGGTGAAGCACAGCTCGGCCCCGGGCTCTTCCTTCCTTTATATTGACAGTGACATTGAGGGGCGTTGATGCGTGTGTTTCTCTCCCAAGTATTTCAGTACCGTCCCACCCTGGCTTGTTTTGAAGAGGGCTGGATTAAAACTAGGGCAGAGAGTGCTGCAGAGAGAGCTGGGAGGAGCTGCCTTTCCAAATACATTCCCACTGTCTGCAGGATTCCTGGGTGTTTGCCATGTGGTTGGGAGCAGTTGGCAGGAGTTTTGGGGTGTTGGGGGGCTGTGTTGCAGCCTCTCTGTGGTGACTGAATTGCATTGCCTGTCCTTGCAGCTGCAGGGCTCAGGGTCTGACAGAGGGGTGATCTGCATGCGGGGTGGGATCTTCCAGGTGTGGGAGAATCAGCAGCTTATTGTTAGGAACAGTTCAGGTGGAGCTGGAATTGATTTGTGACAAGTGAGGGAAGGCGGAAAGTCACTGCTCCCTTGCCTGTGTGTGCTGTGTGCATGCTTGCCAGCCTCACCAGAGCAGGAAGGTGTGAGGACAGGGATCAGAGTCTGTGTGGTGGGTTTTGTCCTCGGGGTCTAGGGGAGAAGAATGCAGTGACAAACTGCTGTGTACATTGAGGAGGGCCCCTTGAGCTCAGTGGCACAGGGGATCCCCTGTCAGGGCTCCGTGTGCCTTTGCAGGGTGAGCCTTGCTGCGCAGGCACAGTGGTCAGGTTGTTAATCCAGCACCTTGCAATAAAGGCTAATGGAATAACGATTTATGTCCTGGGGTAGATGTGGGAATGTCTCTCTCTTTTATTCCTTCCTGATAGCCCATATTGTAGTAAACGTTTTCCTTGAAACACTGGGGTAATGAGTTTTTAATAGAAAGATTAACCTAGCTATAAATTCTGTTCTGGAGAGGTGACCTGTGTCTTGTCCCCTCCTGCCCTTAGGTCTAGGCTACTCCCATGTCCCTCCCCACTTCAGGAAGGTTTCCAGCTCCTTTTTCGTGCTTTAATGCTGTAGGTCTGGGATTCATTGATGCCCCGCTCATTTGGGGTCTGCAGCCTGCAAGTTATTCTGGAAAACAGGTGTTGGCAACAAAAAGAGAGTTAAAAAACGAAAAGATGATGCTTGAGACTTAAGGGCTGAGATTTCGTAGCAGTGCCAGAAGTAATTTGCCATTAGCTTCTGTCTGGAAGTTTTAATGGACGTTTTGGTTGTGCCACTGAGTGTCCCAGTACAAGAGGCATTGCTCTGCCTGCAGCTGCTGCTGCCAGCTCTGAAATAGCCCATCTCTCTCCTTTCCTGTCCCAGGTAATTTATTTCCACACCTCCTTGAACCATCCTGGCATTGCTGCTGTTGTGGAAGTGGTAATGATGGCTGGGAAAGGGGATGGGAGCTCTCAGCATCTTTCCTGTGGCTTTGGAATCATTCCTCTCTTCCACAGCGGATCAGAGGTGACAGACCCAGCCACTGAGGACAGAGCGTAGGTTCCCCTGCTGCGTGTGCCTGGTCACACTAGGAATTGAGGTGGCAACGTGCATGGCTGCTTTGAGGGGAGGAGAAGGGGTGGTTCTGGGGCTGCAGAAACAGAGACAGCATTTAGAAACCTGGAATTCTTTGCTCTGGGGTAGCAGTGATGGGTTTGGAAGGAATGCCTGTCCCTTCCCTAAAGGACAGGGCTTTTTCAGAGTGGTTTGGGTGGGTTTTGCTGCTGAGCAGGGGCTTTGTGGAAGATGGAGATGTAATGGAAGATGGAGATGAGCTTCAGGGTGGATTTACTGACTGCTGCACCTGTGCTCCTTGCTTTCAGGCTGAAGCTGTACCATGGGACTCCACGTGCCCTATTGCACCCGCGCTTCCAGAACCCTGTGGAAAGTAAGGAGCAGCCAGACATGCCATCTTGGTCCTTCTTGGTGGCTTCTCTTACCCAAATGTGTGTTGTATGTGTCTGCTTGATGTGAGACATGGTCAGTGCCCTGGTCCTGCTCAGTGGATGTGCCTTACTGCCAGCTGGGAGTGGCCTGGCTGGGCAAACATAGGTTTTCCTTAGCTCTTAGCATGTGTGTTTACTGATAATGATTCATTCAACATTGGGACTGTGAAGCTGTCTCCCCAGTTTTGGTCATTTTGGGATGTTTCCTTCAGAGAACAAATACATGACAGTGATGGAGAAGAGCTACCTGCAGTATGCCTTGAAGTCCCACCAGCCCCTGGAGGCGATATTTCACCTCCTTCCTGAAAACCTGCTGATATCTGGGCTACAGACTGTTCCTGGCTTGCTGCCGGCACGTGGAGACACAGGTAAGGGCTCTTTCCCTTTCCCTCTGCCTGTGCTGCTCCTGCTTTAAGGCAGTGGGTCCCTGGGAGGCTGTGTCAGGGCAGGCAGGGCACTGGGATGGGATTTGTGGGGGCACAGTGGTTTCTCTGCAGTGTCTCCCCTTGTCAAGAGCATCTCCCCTGCGTGGGGCCTCACACTCGGAGCTCAGTCTTGAATCGGTCAAAATGGCTCAGTCAGTTCCCTGTCCGTTAATTGCTTTACTCCTGGGAAGCTGCTAGGGATAAGTGATGGCTGGTTTAATTACAGTCATTCAGCAGAATCTTAGAAACAGCTTTTGCAGCTTGTTTAAACTTCTCAGAGGCAGGTTCAGCATCACTGGGGCCTGGCAGGTTTGGGGGGATGAGCTCTTCCCTGCTCGACTTTTGTTAATCTCTCCCTATGGCACATTGCCCTTTGAGGTTCTGCAATTAAAATAACGTGAGCTGAAGATTCAGAGGGTAAAAAATTCCTCAGAATTCTGCAGCTGAATTATTCTCCAGCTTCCCGCCTGGAAAACCTGATGGCTTTGGGGTAGTAAATGTTGGTACTGAAGCTGAGCAAGGTCTTGAAAGCAGCTGAGTCCCTGCAGGTGCTCAGGCCAGTGCTCAGAAGCTGAGTTGGCAGAGCCACTGCTGGCACTGCAGGGCACCCCATCACAGCAGTGGTGGCTTTCTGTTTGCTTGGGAAACCTGTGGCCACCACCTTGTCTTTCAGGCGACTGCTTGCAGAAGCCCCGACTGATGAAGACCGTCACCTGCTATCTGGAGCGGCTTTTCATCCAGTTGTACCCTTCCCTGGAGGAGTTTGAGGAGGAACTGCTGGATTTACTGAACAGCGATCGCTTACTTCAGGTAAGTAGAGTGCTGTGAGGGTGGTGGAACCCTGGCACAGGTTGCCCAGAGAAACTGTGGACACTGGAAGTGTCCAAGGCCAGGTTGGACAGGGCTTGGAGCAGCCTGCTCTGGTAGAAGGTGTGCCATGGTAGGGGGTGGAACAAGATAATGCTTAAGGTCCCTTCCAAACCCAACCATTCTGTGATTCCGTGATTCTAGGTACTGCCAGTGTGGTTGAGGCAGGGGAAGGCACAGTGTAGAACAGTAATTCTAGTGTCTGGAATTATGGGTGGGGTGAAAAGTGTAAGTGATATTCATGCATTTGTTTCTCTTGGAGTCTCCAGCATTTTTTTTTTCTGTGGAAGCCTTTAGCTTGTTTCCTTCTTGGATTAGTGTGTGTGTGCTCTGTGTGGGCTTTGTTTTGAATATCCAGACACACATAAGCAGAATTTGGATTTGCTTTGCTATGGGAAATGCTGAGATGAGATGCAGTGAGTATTGAGTCCATCTCTTTGGAGTGGCAGCCACTGGCCAGGTCCTTTCTTGCCAGATTTGCACCAACTATGCCATAAAGACAAAAGACCTTTGTACCTCTCATCTGCTGGGGGAATAGGTCCTGCTTTTTGAGTTTCTGAAGGGTTTGCCTGAATTCTTCTGGCTGTGGTCAGCGCAGGGAGGGCTGCCCAAGGTGGAAAACATTCCTGTCACAGGCTAACACTGGGCCGGACGGTGAAGAGCTGGTGGTTCGGGAGCGGCGGCTGCACGTTGGCGTCCACAATGGCCTGCGCTTCGTCCAGGCACCGCAGGTCGCTGTGCTGGTGCCAGGGGCAGAACTGTCACCGAGTGGCTGCCAGAGGGTGCCCAGCTCTGGAGCCAGGTAAGGGGGAGCCCCTCTGCTGCCGGTGCTGCTTCCCTCCTGCCTTGGATGCTTTCCACAGCCACTTCTCCATCCCGCACAGGGATGCAGGTCAAGCCCTGGTGCTGAGGAGCCGCATCCAGCTGAGTGAAATGGTCCCTCACCCGGCATTCGGGGTCTGCTTCCAGCTGGAATATGTCTTCTGCAGCACGGGGAGAGCTGGTGGGAAGGTAGGGCTGAGAGTGTGTGCGCCTTGTCTCTGTGCCTGTGAAAGAGCAGGGATCCGTTCTGGAGGAGTGAGCCTTGCTGAGAAACTCCTTCCTCTGCCCCTGTTTCACCATCCTGCTCCTCCAGGTTGCTGTAGCTCCTTGTTGCGTGGCTGTGCTGTGTAAAACAGGGCCCTACAAAGTGTGCGGGTGCCTTCCACTGCACTGCACAAAACAACCTGCATGGCTTGGTGAATTATTTTAATTACATGTGGTTGTATTTCTCCACTGTTTATATGTAGATGCAGGAATGTAGCCTGCAGCATTCCTACAGTGTTCTGGCAAGCTAATCTGGAGAATTTCAGCTTTTTTTGTAATATCAAAAAGGCTTTTCTTTAGAATTTGGCATTTATGTTGAAAAGAGGCTAACCCATCCCACTCCTTTTTTTTTGTTTATTTTTGCCCTGAATGCTGAGGTTTTCTGGGTGCTTCAGGCTGATGTTCTCAAACTGTAAAGGCAGGAGAAATCTCTGGGGGTGGTCTCTGCAGTCAATATACTCTCAGCTACTTACTGATAATTTACTCACATCTTAGTTTAACCTTTCTGCAGGTTAAACCCAGCTCAATTAGTACTGTGTATCCCCTCCAGAGACCTTGTACTGTTGAGCCATCAGCTCCTTGCTGGCTGAGTCGATGGCCAAGCATTTGTTAGGAGGCTTTAATCGTCCTGCTAAGATGTTTGTTGAAATTGTTGCAAATGCCTCTTATTAAGCCGTCCAGAGCCAAAGTAGAGGAAATGGGCATTTATAAAGCAGATGCAATTGCCAGACCAGAGGGATTTGTACTGAGAAGGGAGACACCGAGCTGTGCTGTTGGAAGTTGTTGTTGGGTCCAGCTCTGTTGGAAAGCTGAAGCCCAAGGTCCCACGGAGATTTGGGGTTCTAGAGGCAGATCTGTTTGGCTCTGTGGGGGAGCTGTCTGGGGCAGCAGTGGAGCCAGTCCCTGTGGTGCAACCCTGGGGCAGAGTGCTTAATCCCAAAGCTGCTTGCAAAGCTGATCACCTTGTCCTTGTCCTCCGTGCCATAATTAGCTGTGAGGGGGATGGTGGGTGCTGGCAGAGCCCTCTCTTTTTTCTGTGCCTCTCCTTCAGTTTGAGGGAGGCTGTGGATGCGCTGGGTAAGTGGAAACCTTTCCCCTCTGCCAGGGATGGGGGTCCAACACGTATCCCTTCGTGCAGCTGCTTGAGGGAGGGGTTACAGAGGCATAAGGTCCTGGAAAGTGAAGTGTCTCCAGAACAAGATGAAGAGCAGTGGCTTCTGTGATGCCAGAGCCAGGTGTGAGGAGGTGCGGAGGGGGATGAGAGCCAGTGCCTGTCTGGCAGCACCCATTCCCAGCTCCTGGCGGTGAGGTGGGGCTGCCTGGTGCTCACTGCGCTCCCCCACCCCCAGGCCCTGTCCGGCAGTGCCCGCAGCGAGGCGGCCGACATGCGCTCGGTGCGCTGGGCTGTCTGGAGCCCCGTCCTGGGCACCGGTGACACGGACGTTGTCCTGCCCCTGCGTGGCGGTGCCCGCCGTGGCCCCTGCCAAGCCTTGGTCTACCGGACCCCACTGAGCTCCCGGCAGGTAAGGGTGTGCTGGCCCCTGGCAGCTTTGCCTCTGGCGTCAGGGCAAGGGGGCCACTGTCGGAGGCACGAGGGAGGCTGCGTGTAACACACTGTCTGAAAGCACTTTCGTTGCCAACTTCAGGGGAAGCACGTGGAGTCTGGGACTGTCCAATTCTGTGTTTCCACTGATTCGGAAGAACATCTTGTATCTGCTGCGGAGCTCCTATGTAAAGACAGGGACGAGTCGAAGCAGCCTCCTACGCCATCGCTGAGTGAGTGTTTTCCAGATCGCTGACATTTAAAATATAGAGTGTGGCACTGGTGTCTGCTCGGGAGAGAAAACAAGACTTCAGTGAGTTTCAGTGAGCTAGTTATGAATTACTGGAGTGAAGCAAGTTTTTGTCAAGTTGAATTCAGCTCTTACTTTTTAACTTGCAAAATTTCCATATGATAGTATTGCTGAGCCATGTGCAAAATCCCCAGGGATTGACAGCACTGCCCCAGCCAGCTCCAATTCCAGGTCAGCCGGTGCAGTGGCCACACCAGCAGCACATGCTCACTGCAGGTACTGCTGCTTCTCTCTCTGGGCTCAGAGTCTCTCCAGACATGAGACAAGAGAGGTATCAGTCATAGGCTGGGGAAAAGTAACCTGGTTGTGCCACCACTGATGGATGGGGTTGGGTTAGGTTTGCCTGGGTTGGGTTGATGTGTGCAGGATGTGCTGGTGCCTGACTGAGGAGGTGCAGGCAGCATCTGTGCATCTGTCTATAGTTTTGGGGGCTGTGTGGTTAGGGTTCCAGCACCCCTCTGCTCTATTGGAGGTAGAAGGAAAAATGCTGTGGGCTTGGGTTTGGGCATGAGGTTGTGCCCATGCACTGTGCTCCTAAAAATCCTCTTTGGCTTGTTTATCTTTCATCCATTTTTGTGATTTGTGGGAAGCAAACTCCCCTTTCTTTGCAGTGCTGCTCCTGCTGGGGTCCCAGGTGTGTCTTGGGGTGATGCTTTGTTCACCAGGCAGTGTTTCAGTGTGTGTCCCCAGCTCTCTGATATCTCCCCAGCTCTCTGATGAGCCACTTGGTGCCAGCCCACGGGCCAGGCAATGCCCACTACGATGGGTTGCTGTTCCCTGCTGGCTCCAGTGCAGTGGTGCCTTCCACGAGATGGCAGTGGCACCACGGCTTTGCTATGACAAATCCTGTGTTTCTGCTGGTGAGGAGCCAGGATTGCTCCTGGGAGGGGCTTTGGAGAGGAAAGCTTTAGGGGGAGATGAAGGGGTCTGGTGATGTCAGGGTATGTGGGGTTGATCTCCCGGCAACACACGCTGCATCATGACTGGTACCTTCCTGGTGCTGCTTGAAAAGTTTTTCCTGGTGCCTTTCAGCTGTAGGTGGCTGGGATGCTGATGGGAGTTGTGGTGTGGTGAGGGGAGAGAAAAGCAAGTGCTGACACTGAGCTTCCAACCTGGTGGTGGTCTGGAGTGCTCTGGCTTGGGCAAGTGTGCTGGACTGTGGGCTGTGTCCCTTGTGAGGGGCTATCCCCATCAAGGTGATTTTCAGGGACAAACTCCCTGGCATTTCCCAGCTTCAGGGGGCTGATGGCGCCAGGGAGAGCTTGCAAGTGCAGTGGTGGTCCCGGAGCTGTGCCCCTCCAGCCTGTGTCCCAAGGGCCTGAGGAGACTATTGGGTTAACTTTTTGTAGAGTTCTGTTGAGAAGCATGCTGCTGCCTGGCCCAAGGGAGGCCAAGAGCTTCTTCTGTCAGCTCAAATGCTGATGTTGCTGCTGTGTATGTCCATCCTCTTCTTAACACCAGCCAAAGCCATCCTAACTGGAAGGAAACAAACAGTATTTTAGGCATGAGGGAGGCAGGGTGGTTTCCTTTACACAGCAGCCAGCATGGAATAGCTGGGATATATGTGGTGGGGGAAAGCAAATTAAGGTCTCAGCATCACGTGGATGCAGAGATGGAACATCTGTGCCCCTGCTCTGCTGCGAAGGACCCGCGGCTCCACGGCACAGTGAGCTCAGCTGTGCCGGTGCGAGAGAGCAGCCGAATATAAACACAATAAAGCTCCCACCGTTTCGGGGCACAAATGCTCAAGCAGATGAAGGGAGTGACAAAATATAACAGAGAAGCGATGAAAACCTTAAGTATCCTAAAACTTTCACGTCTCATTAAGCATCCCACTTAGGCAGCACCGTGTGGCCGTGGGGCACCGCGGAGCTGTCAGGGGATGGGGGAGCTGCTGTTTGTGGCAGAGTTAGCCTGATTCACGGCAAAATAATGGATGGGTCTGGAGATGTGCTGTGTTAACCCTGAAGCAGCAGTCTTATTGGCAAATAAGTCAAAAGAAATGTTTGGGTGATGGTAAGCTGCTTCACTGTGCTGCCTTTGCCCCTAAAATTGAAAAGGGCTGGTGGAAGGACAGGGCAGGTTTGGTGGCAGTGGGTGCAGCTGCAGTTATGGGGCCTGAGGGTGATGGCTCCTCTACAGCATCTCTCCTGTCCCTCTCCACAGGAGTGCCAACCCCACGGCGAGTGCCAGTCTCCCCACGGGGACCAGGGGTAAGTGTCACATGCACCAGTGGATGTGGGTGGTGGGCAGCAGCATTCCCCAGGGAATGGCCCACAAGTAGGATGTGCTTCTGGACCCATCCCCTGCCTGTTTTCCTGTCTGCTGCAGCCAAGAGGCACTAAGTGTCCTCAACTCCACCTCCTCCAGGCAGTTCCTGCTGGTGATGTGCTGGGCGAGGTTCCCTGTGCTCTTTTCACACCTCAGGAGTGAGGGCAGCTCTGATTTTTGACAGCCCAGATTTGCTGGGTGCTGTTGTCCCTGGTATGTGCTGACAGTGACACACGGTTTGTTCATGCAGAGTTCCCAGGATTTAAGGAGAGCTGTGAATACTGAGAGCCCTCTTTATGCTGTTTTATATCTTGACGCAGGAATCAATGCACACAAATATTTTTGATGAAATGAAATGCCTCATAAGGCCACATTAAGCACTTTGATCTTCCTGCTGCATGTGCTCATCCCTCCTCTTGCCAGGGAGCGAGCACCAGGGAAATGGGAGCAGAGGTGCAAACCCTTTTGTGGCCAAGTTGTACCACTTCTTGGTGGAATGACCCCTGGGGCATGTGGTGGCCAAGCTCCTTTAGCACAGAGGGGGCTGCTGGCTCTGCTTGCCACAAGGGCTGCCTCAGGAGGCTGCCTTGGGGCTGTGGGTGCTCACGCTTGCCGCTCTCTCACCAGCTGTCGGTGTCCCAGCTTGTGGCCTCACCACAGGGCACAGGCCAGACCCTGCAGCAGGATGGGGGCATCACCCACCTGGAGACCGACCTGGGCTCACCGGACACAGAGCCCTGTGCCAGCGACCAGCTGCGGGCACTGCCCTTCACCCCTCTGCAGCTGCCCATGGCTGCTGTGGGGCTGCAGGCATGCAGGTGATGTTCGGCTGCCCCTCCCCAGGTTCCTGTGGCCCCATCACCTGGCCTGCCAGGGTCCCCCATGTCCCCTTTTGTGGAGCTCACCCCTATTTCTCCATCAGTTTCCATGTGTCCCTCTCTCGTGCTGCACTGGCACGCCTGCACGCTGCCGGCTTTCCAGACATCCTGGACCGCAACCAGGAGCCAGTGGAAATCTCGGAGCCAGTGGAGCTGGGCAGTTTCAACCTGCAGCTGGAGGAAGCTGACCCTCTGCAAGGCAATGAAATTGTCCTGCAGTTCCTGGCTTTTGACAGGTGGGATAGCAGTTCATGGTCTTGTGTGGGCAGATCCCAAAGGCCTCCTGGACAGAGTCCTTTCCAAATTCCCCCAACCCTCTTCCCTGCTTGGGCAAGAGACATCTTTGCAGAGGTGTCTCCTCTTTTAGCACCTGTCCTTTAGCTTTTGTCCTTTCCTTTGGACACTTTTAAGTAATAATCCGGTTTTTTTAGATTGGATCCATGAGCTACAATATGATGTCAGAGCTCATTAATGCAGGGTTTCTCCAGAAATGCAAATGGAGTTGGCAAAGTTGGCACCCAAGGGGTGACTTTGGCTGCATAAGGCCCTGCTTCTGTTTCTTCCATGGCTGGCAATGTGCTGTGGGAAGGTAACATGCTGCCTTTGCTGGGCGCCTCCATCACAGCATATGGCAGGAGACAGCTGGAATTACAAAGCTTTTTGGAAAGTTAAGGCAAACCGTATGGCCGCTGTCTTCAGAAAAGTCCAAATACTTGTGGTGCTGCCAATCTTCTCTTGTTCTTCTGCTTCTTGGCATGTGCCAAATGCATGAGGAGCTCCTGACAGGGTGGCAGTGCCATGCTATAAGTGACCCAAACCCCTCTCTCCTCAAGGGATGCCCAGGGCAGTGTGGAGGGGCTGTGGCCAAGGACGGTCTTCCTCACCTTCCAGTTCTACCGTTTCCCACCGGTCACCACACCCCGGCTGCAGCTGGTCAGCACAGATGGGGGTCTGGCAACTGGGCTGGCTGTGCCAGCACAGCTCCTTTTCCGTGTCAACGAGGATGGGACCCTAACCAGTAAGCTCTGGTTTTAGCATCCATGTACGGCTGCTCCTCTTCTGTTGGGTGGATGAGGGCTTGCCTCTGGCCCAAGGGGTGGGCTGGTATCTGTTAATAGCAAACCTCTGTTGATTTGCATGTCATGAAAAACACTCAAATCATCCAGTGTTTGAAGCAGAACACAGAATGTCAGTTGTGTGAGGTGCACCTTGAGGCTTCTCATTAAGACAAGTGCCACATCTGTGACAGTGTGGTGCCTTGCAGAACCACCAGGCTTGCAGCTGAAGTACATGGTGGATCCGGCTTTCCTGCGGCCTGGGGAGCAGCGCTGGTTCCTGCGGTACCTGGCCGAGCACAGCCTCCAGATTGACGTCTGGGATGGAGACTCCCTGCTCCATGTTGGGTCTGCTGCCATTAAACTGGAGGTATTGATTAGATAGAAGGCCTTTTCCCATGGCTGGTAATGGTGAAGGCCCCCCTGCCTGTGCGGAGTGCTAGGGCAGAGCCCAGCTCTCATTTTGGTCCTGTGTTGAGATGCTATTGCATTGTCCTTGTGTCTTCAGTAATGGAGTAACTGTCAGTCCCTCTGTGTAACCAAGTCTGGTGTCAGCTTGACAAGCCCCTAATCACAGGATTTGTTATCTTTTCCTCCAAAGTGATGACAAAGCATTAACTTTCTTTGCCTTTCCCTGGAACTCTGGCAGTATTCTAGCACTAAGCCCTGCAGAGCCAGGACATCTAGTGTCATTCATACTCAGACCCCTTGACCCCTCTGGGCCAGACTCCCCAGTAACTCGTTACACCTTGTCTGTCCTTGCCTTGTCCCCAGCCCCTGCTGCGCCAGGGCCAGACGGCTGTCAGGACCTACCACGAGTTGGAGGTGGCCACGACTGAGTACGAGCCGGACGGGACGGTGATGGGCCGGGAGGCTCTGCGGCACGGCGCCCTGCGGCCCCTCGGTGTCCGTGTGGCTGTGAGGGGCCGCCTCCACCTCTGCCTGGCCAATGTTGGTGAGAACCCACTGCTCATGCGGCCCAAAGGCTTGGGTGGGGCACCCAGCATGTGCGGGGCTGTCCCTGAGTGAGACCCAGGCTGGCGGGGACGTCATCCTTCCCAGAACCTGCTGGTTGCTTTTATTTTATGTATTTAATTCTGTGTCCTATAAATGTACAGTGACTCCAGGTTTTAAAATCTTATCTTCAGAGGAGAGATTAGCTCCATATAAGATATCTTAAATCATCATTTCCATACTTTGCCTGCAAAGGGCTGATAAGCTCCTGGGAAGGAGAATCTGAGATCCACAACCCAGGGAGTGGTTTAACTCACACCCTGACAAAGAAGAGGGAGGGAGGAAGTGGAGCCACTGTTCCACGACAGCAGCTGCCCTTTGATTGGTGTTTTTCCCATCCTCTGTTTTTTTGAAATTTCAAAACACTGTTAGAAATAGGGTGGCAAAGCTTGGTACACTTCCCTGAAGGATGGGGATGGGATTTGTAGGCTGGGAAGATACCTGGTGGGTTTAGAGCCTTGTGTGGCTCCACTTGGCACAGCCTTTGTGGGAGGGGGGAGATGCAGCAGGCCATGTGGGGGGAGGCAGAACACAGAAATGAAAGCAGGATCTGGTGAGTGGCTCAGGATGGTGCATGCTCTTGGTGCTGCTTCACTCCTGGGCAGGTGACTATGTGACAGAACAGGCTCCAGGGAGCATGTGGGGCTTTATGGGCATCACTGGTTTCCAGATATTTCCCCCTGCTTGTGTAAATTGGCTGAACAGAGCATCAGGGATGTAAAAATTGGCAGTAGATTTAACAGTGAAAATGGATGGTTTTCACTCACTCCTGTCTCCACTTGTGGCAGGTCACCCGTGCGAGGGGACCCCAGGACAGCTGCCATTCCACTCCCGCATTGTCACTGCACCAGACAGCACTGTCACCACCCCAGGTGGTGGCTGGAACTCCCTGAACACTCCTGGTGGTGAGTCCTGCTGGGGCCTGGCCTGTCCCATGTGGGTTGAGGTGGGCAGGGTCTCTGTTGCTGCAGTGCCAGCTGTGGGTCAGCTGTCCCCTCTGGTGCTCCCCTTTCCAGCCCTGCAGTATTGCAGGGCTCTTGGGGGCTGCAGTTTTTGGGGTGTCCGTCCTTGGTGCCACGGTGGTCACTCCCCACAGGCAGGAGGACAGCGCGGGCCCGCAGGCTGGTGGATGTGGACAATGAGCTGGAGGCCGCACTGCGCAGTCGCCGGCCAGAAGTGAGCCTGGCCCCCCGGTCACCCTCAGTGAGGCCATGCCCACCCACTGACTGCAGCACCTGTTGGTGTGGCTGCACGTGGGGGCTGGTGGCAGGAGGCCTCGTGTGGGGCCAGTTTCCTGCGTGTCTCTGGGCTCATGGTTCCTTCTCTCCCGGCAGGGCTGGCCAAAACAGCGTGCCTGGGACCTGCAGGTCATTGATGCCTACCGGGATCACATCAAGGGAGAGAGCATCTACCAGATGCTCAGCCAGGCCATCACAGCCACCCACACTGTCCATGCTGTGCTGGGGACAGCTGAGTTCTTCGAGTTCGCCCTGAAGAACCCGTACAGTGTCCAGCACACTGTGACCATCGAGGTCAATGACCCTGAGCTCAGGTGGGGGCTCCCCTGTGTGTGTGGGGAGATTCCAGGGTGGTACCAGCTCCCTCCCAGTCCTCACCAGCACCTCTGCTGCTCACTGCCCCAGTGTCATACTGGACCCGAGGGAGTGGCGCCACTTCAAGGAGCTGACCAAGAGTGTTACACCAGTGGAGGAGGATATGTTCCATCTCCGTGATGACCTGAAGCCTCAGGTCTACCTGCGCCCCAGTGAGACTGTCCACATCCCCTTCAAATACCAGACGTTCTCTGCAGACCCTGCTGTGGTTGCAGCACGGGTAGGCACGGGCCCCTGTTTTGAGCTGTTCCCAGTACTAAGTGTTCCCCTCGGCTGTGTTTGCCAACGCAGAGGAACAGCCATGGGGAGCAGCAGCAGCTGCAGCGATGCTGTACCCTTAGGGAACTCACTCTCACCCTGCAGGGGCCGGCTGGGCTGGGCACCGGTGCCAATGGGAGCACTCACTCCCTTGGGAAGAGCGGGGCCAAACAGACAAAGCTCATCCAGGTTAGGGAACCAGGTGAAACGCTGCTTGAGGGGCTGTGCGGGAGGAGCAGAATCACTGGAAAACCCCATTCCTCTCCTGCTGGCCCCTGGGACAGGTCACCTTCCAGGTGAGCGGGGGGAAGCCCATTGCACTCTTGCGGGTGAAGGTGGAGCCGCAGCCCCATGTGGTGGACCAGACCTTTCGCTTCTACCACCCAGAGCTCACCTTCCTGAAGAAAACCATTCGTCTGCCTCCCTGGTACACCCTCCCTGGTGAGTCCGTGGTGTGCCTGGCAGGGCTTGGACTCTTCCCTGTTAGTCATCATCCATAGCTCATGGAGCCTTTCTGAGGCACAGCAGCATCCAGAGAGCACATTGCTGCTTCCTCACCCCTTTATGGCCCTGGACTCCTGGCTTGCTCTCCATCCATCTTTCTCTGTTAACTTCAATCCAAATTCCCTACACCTGCACACCCTTGTGGTTTGCTGGTAGTCTAGCATGAGGGGTTCTGTGTGCAGCTGCGTGGGGTGCTGGGGAGAGGCACAGGCAGAGGAGAATCTGAAGGTGTTTTCCTCGGTCCCTTGTCCACAGGCACACCAGTGGGGGTGCCAGGCGGGCAGCCTGAGATGTTTGTTCGATGCAGTGACCCCGACATCATTTGTGAAACCAAATCCTTGGTATGTTACACTTTGGCATCGCTGTTCCTCATGTCCTTCTGCAGATTGTGTGGGTTGGCAGAGAGCTGCCAATGTGGGTACAACCACAGAGCATCCCTGTGTACCAGCCCATGGCAGTGACACAGTGGCAGCGATGAAGCTGGAATTGCTTTTTACTCACAGTTAAAAGGAGCTGCATTGTTTTGGTGGGGGAGGCTGAGCGTTGCCCCTTATCGCATCATGCAGCAGCCTGTGCTTGCTTGTTCTTTTGAGCAAGTACCAGATGATTCAGATGCTGGGGAAAAGCAGCCTTTTGTTGGGCTGGGATAGACCTTTCTGCTGCTCGGGGTATCTGCAGCCGTTGGCAGCGTGTGGTGGGACGGTGTGTCCTTGGGGTGCACGGCAAAGCCCATCCCTGCTGAAGGATGCTGGGGTAGTGGGGCAGCTCCATCCCCAGCTCTGCACCTTCCCACTCCCTCCCCAAGCAGGAGGCTCTCCTGGGCTGGCTCCACAGCAGGAAGGGGTGGAAGGGAAAAATAAGCTTAGGCATGTCCATGCAAATGGCGACGAGGGATAGTTGCTAATTGCTGTTGTGGAAATGCATTAGTATGGTAATTGGATTAGGGCTTGTTAGAAAACTTGCAGAAAATTTGCCAAAATTTGATTACAGATACAGACCTGGAATGTGATAGTCATTTGTATCCTCTTTTGTAATTAAAAATACTGGGAGAGCTCAGCCAAGCTGTGTAATAACTTAATAACGTAGTTTAACGAGGTACCCAAAGCATCTGCTTTTATAAGGCCATCAGTGGTAGTTCCCCCGTTAATGGGAAGACACCCCTGGGCTCCTCATTAGCTGGTCAACTGCTGGGACAATGTTCTGTTGTCTGTGCAGGGGCCTGGTGAGCCACAGGACATCTTCCTCAAAGTAGCTGGAGGACCAAGCCCGCAGATCAAAAAGTTCTTTGTTGCTATTTATATGTAAGTAGCAAGACCCCAAAAGGGTGGGGTATGTTGATTGCCATGCTGTGTGGCAAGCCCTGTCTGTCTGTCCATGCACAGGGACACCTGGCTGGCAGCACCTGTCCAGATCTGGCAGTTCTACCTGCACTCGCTGCAGCGCCTGGACGTGGCCTGCACAGCCGGGCAGCTCACCCGCCTCTCCCTGCTGCTGCGTGGCACCGCGGCCCCGCGGAGGGTGCAGGCCTTCACCTCCCACCCCCAGGAGATGGAGGTAACCCCCGTGGTGGGCTGGGGGCTGGCTGGCCTGGGTCAACCCAGAGAAACCCCCTCCGGAAAGCAAAAGGCAACCCACGCGGAACTGTGAACAACTGAGAGCCGTAAAGCGTTTGTGATAATTATCTTTTGATTAGAGCTGTCATGTGTAGGATCATTGGCGCGAAACCCTGGAGGGCAAATTATCTGCGTTAATGAGACTGTCTGAAGACTCACAATTTCTTTAGAATTCGTTCGTCCGTAATTGGAAATGTGAATAATAAAAGACAGAAAAACTCCACTGCTGTCCTGTAAAGGAAAGGCAAAGGCTCCCCAGGCAAAGCCTGTGTGGGGAACCCCTGGGCTGGGGAGGCCCTGGGTGTTCCCGAGTGGCTCTTGTCCTTCCTGACATGAACTAGTCCCAGAGTATCCCTGGGGCTGGGAAGTATGGGGTTTAATAGTGGTGGAATAGGGGTACAGGTTTTTAAGAGCAATTAGGTCTAATTGATGCTCCAAGCTGGACTTTTCAGGGTCGTGATCAGCCGTTGTGGGTGGCTGTAGCTCCAGGTGTTGTTCCACAGATGGATCCAAGCGGTGCCTTCCTCCTCCCCGCCAATGGCATTCAGGACCTGTATATCGGCGTGAGGCCACGGCGGGCTGGCAGCAAGTTCATCTACCTCAACTTGGTGGATGTGGAGTCCCACCAGCTGGTGTCCTCCTGGCTGCTCTGCCTGTCCTGCAGGCAGCCCCTCATCTCCAAGGTATGTCAGCTCTCACCACTGCGAAACGTGGTGATGGCACCGGATCAGTGGTCTCAGTTCAGCCAATAACCCGGGGCTGTCTCCTGCTTCTTCCTCTCTTTCCATCTGTGTTTTTTTTGGCGCTTGCCACCATAAACACACATTTAGCCCTTTGGGTACTTGAATAATCTCACTGAAGCCCCTGGTAAAATGTCTTTTAGGCTGTTTTGGAGGCAGCCCCACGCTGAGGAGCGGCAGCTCGGAAGTATTCCCAGTTGTGAAATTAGAGCTGCAGCATGCTGCTTTCGATTAGCGCTGTGCTGGCAAAGGCCTTGCCTCAAAGACAGAAAATTAGATTTCCTGGCTAATGTGTTCCTTCTAAAAATGTTTTCCTGAACCCCTTGGTACTGGGAAAGGTTCAGATTGGCATTTACACTGATGCCCCATTGTCCTGCCACATGCTGCTTGTGCTATGGGGTGTTAAGAGAATCAGAGTAGCTGGGGCTGGAAGAGGGTGTTCAGGGTCATCAAGTCCATCTAGTTATCTGAGCACCACAGCTCATTCTGGGAATGAGAAGGAGCTGGCTAGTCTCTGCTACTGCCCCAGCCCTTTGTTCTTCACACTCGTAATTAATTGTTGCTGCTTTTGATCAAAGGTGGGTTCTTTCTGCTGGCTGGCAGAGCAGATGTGAATTGTGGGAGGGGAGGGCAGTGTGTGGGAGGCAATTCTCTGTAGTGGGTTTGGGGAGTGCCTGTTGTTGCTGCTGCCCACCCTGCCATCTGTGCCATCTTGCCACGGCCCCTGCTTGCCCCACAGGCCTTTGAGATCTCGCTGCCTGTGGGAGGTGGGAAAGGCTGCAACAAGCGCATCACCTACACCAACCCCTACCCCTCGCCTCGGCTCTACTTCTTATGCACCAACCGCCCCGACCTGCTGCAGTTCAAGGAGGATTCCTTCGAGGTACGTCCTGCTGCCAGCACTCCCTCCTTGTCAGGCCCCTCATCCGGCCAGACCAGGTGATGCTGGGTGGGTGCTGGCCGTGAGGGCCACCCTGGCTGGGGGAAGGTGGGCACATGAAGGGGCCTGGGCAGGTGCTGCTGCCTCCTCCAGCCCTCTCTCCCGCAGGTGGCTGGAGGGGAGGTGTACACCATCGGCCTGCGCTTCGCCCCGAGCCAGACAGTGGGGGAGGAGGAGATCCTGATTCACATCAATGACCACGAGGACAAGAACGAGGAGACCTTCTGCGTGAAGGTCCTGTACCAGTGAGGCTGCCTGCCTGTCACTGCGAAACTGCAGGTTCCTGTGCCAGCCCAGCAGCTTCATCAACACCACCTCGGGGGTGCCTGTGTCTGTCTGAGGGTGGTCATGACCCCCATCCCCTGACTGTCACCTTGCCAGGTTGGGGGGTGTCTCTGTCACCAGCATTCCCAGGCATTGCTCCGAGTGCTGGTGGTGCCAGGTGGCTCCATCCGCACAAACTGAGACGAGTAGATGTGTTTGTTACAGCACTTTGTGACTGCAGGATCTGTATTTTTGTTAAGTGTGATGATATTTTAGGCACTTTGAATCTTTTTTTAACTTAAAAAGTTTGCAGATTTGATTCTGTGGAATATTTTTAAAGTATTTTATATTTGACAGTGAGTTTTGTACATGCTAAGGCAGTTTTACAGGATTTTTGGTACTTTTTACTCATCCTTGATCCATAAAAATTACTGCACACAACCGTCAGTGTGCCAGCATTTTCTTCCTGGGGAGGTGGAAATCCTCAGCATCCCTGCCCTGTGGAGATGAGTCCTGGAGGTCCCCTGCATCACCCCTGTCCCCTGGACCATGCCAGGGGTCAGGGCAGGGACCATAAATGGGACTGGGAGCTTAGGGCAGCCCACTAGCTCTGGAAATGCTGCTTCACTCTCCACAGGCCTAAGGCTGGTGAATTAGTGGCCCCGATAAAGTCAGGTGCCGAGTTCCTCTGCCTCCCTCACACTGATGGGAAATGACAGCTCATATTTTAGAAATTATACTGTCTGCAGCACAGAGAGGCCCTGAAGTTGGGTTATTAAAGTAGATTAGCTGAATAATTTTTATTACATTTTCACAGAACGATATTTCTTGAGGCTTATGAATGAGCTGGTGTTGTACCTGCAGCACAGGCAGCTCGAGTGGTGAATGATGTGCCAGCATTCAGGGGACACCAGTGCAGGGACTCAAGCTGAGCTGGTGCTTGAATGGTGCTGCCTGCTCCCCTGCAGCACACGTCTGTGGCCCAAAATCTACAGAACTGTCATTTAAAAAAGTTGATAAAACTTTCCCTGTAGGAAATGCAAATGCCTTGTGTCCCAGCTGCTTGGCATTATGGCCATGGCCCTTGGAGTTGCTGCTGCTGCCTCTCAAACTCAAGACAAGCCTAGGGACAGCTTCCTGGGTTCCCACTTGTTAATGAAGTCATCCCTGCTAATGACAATGAACTTGAGCACCCGTGCCTGGCATGCAGCTTGGTGTGCTCTACCCATTTGCATTCATGTCAGGAAGGAAGTGATTCCAGTAATGACAGAATTAATTTGGCCTAAAAATCTCAGTTTGCGTCTCATCACTGAGGTGTGGAGGGAGGGGAAGGATTGAAAAGCCCTTCCCATGGGTTCAGTAATTCTTGGGGCTGTTGTCCCTCTTGGAGCAGATGCAGATGAGACCTTTAGGGGGCTGGAGTGTCAGGGCCTTGGAAAAGCATTGCTAGAATGGCAACAGAGGAATAAGGAGGGCAGGGAGACCTGGCCCCAGCACCTGGGCTAGGGAGGGGCAACTAAAAAATGGCTACTAGTAATGAGGAAATAAAGTAAAAAAAAGAAAAACCAACATGGGAGTTGGGGGCAAAGCTCCTGCAGCAGCTGAAGGCCCTTGGGAAACTGGCCCTCAGGATGCCTGAGCCTCAGCAGGGTTTGTTGCCAGCCCAAACTTTTAAACCCAGCTTGTTTTCGCCATTATGAGGAGGAAATTGCGATTGCCTAAGAACCCTCTAATTAAACAAAGCCTCACCATAATATTTGCTGGGAGCACGCCAGCCCTGTAATATGACATTACCAGGCATCTTTATTAGCTGAAATGAGTATTTAGCGCCCCTGCCAAACTGAAAGCTGATTGAGGCACATGGAAGCAGCGTGGCAGCATCCAGCAAAGGCTCCTGTGACCTGCTGGTGAGGCAGCATCAACCTGGGGGGCTTTCCACTGAGACAAACCCTTTCTTGGTAATTTCCATGTCACCCAAATCTAGCCCAGCAGCCCCAGCATGGGAGTTTGGGAGGTTTATTCCGTTTCTCCCACTTGTCTCTCTGAAAGCGCGTCACCGTCTTGATAAAACCTGATTTAATGGTTACAAAACCCAGAGATAAAGCTGCTCTTAATGGATTTCTTTAAGATCAAGGCTGTCAAATAGGAGGCTCAGAATCCTTTCTGTGGTGAGAGTGACTATATTAAGTGCACTCAATCACACCCAGGCGAAGGTTCCCTAAGTGAGACACTGGCTAGAGGAAATGCATTTTATTAGTGTCTCCGGAGAAAGGAGTCTGGCAGGAGGGATGAGGAGCCTGTGAGCTGCAGTGGCTGTGCTCCTGTTCAGCTGCAATGGATGGGATGTGAAGGACTTTGCAAAGCACATCCTCACTCCCTGGTTGGTCCTGTGGGGAGGAGGGTGATGGCTGCCATGGTGACATTGCAGGAGCTTGCCTGGGGGAGAAGAAACCCCAGGGAACAATGCTCACCTGGGGATAATGCTCACAAAACACACCTCAAAATCCACCCTATGGAGCTCAGCTCCTGCAGGGTCTGATGGAGAGTGGGGCATCCAAGGGGGTGATGCTCAAAGGCTTTTGGGGGTGTCAGATGGGACTCACCCCAACCAAAGGGAGGGGTAGAAGGAGAGGGGCCTTGGCAGCTCTGGACAGACCAAAGCTTAAAACACAGATTAGTTTTTCATCACAATTTGCAGCTCCATAATGAGAAATTTGCAGCAGTTCTAAACTGCCAGTTGCTTTTAAATCATTTCCCGTCTTTCTGTCTCAGGCTTGACATTTGATGATGAATTGAGTCTCTGTGTTCATTTACCCACTGATTTACTGTACGGAGGTGGGAAACCTCAGCCACCTTAGTGAAGGTCAACATGGAGCATTTGCCTGTAATTTCCAAATACTATTAAGGTTTTTAAATGAACTGTGTGGGCGCTGTAGGCAATGCAGGCCCCTCTTGCAAGGCTGATGCTGCAGCAGATTCTTCTGGGTGGGGAGAGTGGGTTTGTGGGAGCAAGAGCAGATCACTTGGCTCATCAGCCTGCACCCCAAATTCATGTTTAGCACTTGATTTCAGGGGCACAGCAATCTGGGCACTGACAGCGGCTCCTCACCTCCCAGCCCAGGTTAGTATTGGGTTCTCATCCTGCTTTCCCATGGCTTGCTGAGCCCTGCACTCATCCCTGGGAAGCTGGAGTTGTCCCATGGCTTCCCCTGAGATGCCAGCTTTGTCTCCTGCTGCAGGACCCGGTTGTTTGTGGCTGTGAGTCTGTTTGGCAGGGGAGAGCAGGAGGTTCGGCTGCACAAATGTCACACAGATCTTATCTCAGGGGAAACATCCTTCAGTAATTACACTAAATGAAAAGTCCTGGAAGCAAAGCCTTGGAGGCTGCAGCCTTCTGTTTATTTCCAAAGTCTGAAGTATGTGTGGAGGGAGCTGGGAGCAGGAGGTGCCAGTGGCTGCAGTCCCCGTGGTGTGGGGATGGTGTCAGGGTTTGCCTTCACGCAAGGGGCAGGCAGCAGGATGCTCTGAGCTCTGCCTGCATAAGCCATCTGCCCCCTTGCTGCAAATTAATAAGTAAATTCAGAAAAAAGAAAGAAAAGAAAAGTCTCTCTATGGATAATTTGTGCACAGAAAAGGGGCAAAATTAATTAAATAAATCATTTGCTGCTACACTGGTCCCATTTGATTCCCTGCCTTTCACATCATCTTTTCAAGCCTAATGGTATCAGATACCCTTTTGGCACCCATTTTCAGAGCCACAGTCCCCTCCTGCTGCTCTTTAATGCAGCTCATCTCCTGCCTATGGCTCCCAGGGCCTCTGCCAAATCAGCACTTCAAATTAAAGTCTTCCCCACCTCTCCCTGGTTTCCATGGAGATCTGAGTGGATGCTCCCTTCCTTCTTCCTCTTGAGCTGATGGAGAGGACCCTCCCGGGGACAGCCCTTGTAGGGCCTGGGAGTCTCCAAGCATCCAGCAGTTCTGCAGCTGGCTTTGCCATGTGCAGCCACTGGCAGGCCTGGTGGCTGCAGTCCTGGTGTGCTGGTGACCCTCTCCCAGTGTTCCACAGTGGAGCATGCCAGGAATGGGTTCCCAGTATAAGTTTTCCTCCCATGTTCGAGCAGATCCCACCTGACTCCCCAGGGAGCTTGGCCAGCAGAAACTCTTATCCTCTGGTGGGAATCACTTCTACAGCTGGATGAGGACCAGGCTGGTTTGTTTGCAGCACCTTTATGTAAACTATGTGTTGACTTCTGTAGTCTGCACACAGATTTCCCAAGCACTGCCTGGGGCTGTTTGACCAAGGCTGCTCCAGCAGTGGCAATGGTGATGGGGATGCCCTTGCACATGTGACTGAATGGGCAAATAGCTGCGAGATCTAAGGAATGACAGTAATTATGGAACAAAATTATTATTAATGTACTAATTTACCTGGGAGCCAGGCTGGATGTAATTACACTCTGGGATCATGATAAGGTTAATGCATTTACCTTCCTAGGTATTTATAGACACTTGGAATGGTTCTCTCTGTCAGAACCACATGTGCATGTTCCTGGCCTCTGTTAGTCTGGCAGCCGAAGGGGGCATGGGAGGTTTGTTGCTCTTTGCTAATATTGCTCACAGGGGGGTTTGGGGCAGCAGTGACCCCAGCTCAGTGGCTCTGGGGAATCCCAGGGGATGCTCACTAGAGGGGATGCATTCTGCTGCTTCCCAGAGCCTCTTGGATCATGGCCAAACAAATTTTCTGTGGGGTGTATATTTGAGGGAAACTGTCCTGGGGGCCACCAGCATCTGGCATTTGGCTGCCTGGAAATCCTCCTAACTTTTGGGCTCAGCAGTGCTGCAGCAGCTGCTCTGGCTGGCAGAGGGACCAGCTAATCCAACCTGTTTGTGCTTAACAAATCAGAACTTTGCAAACACCTTGGAAACTTACCAAGACTGGCAAAAAGTCTCTACCTGTGAGGATGCTGTTCCCAACGCCAGGCCCACGTGTGTCCTTTTGGCAGTCGCTGCTCAAACTGCAGTGGACATGGGTGCCCCAGAACTGCCAGGCTGGAGCAGGGCTGCTCACCCGCACGGCAGTGGGTGGGAGAGCCCAGGGGCTGCTGCCACGGCGCTGAGCATCGCTTTGGCACGGGTGTGAATAAGGAACAAGAAGGGCAGGATCAGACAGACCTCAGAGTCCTCCTCCTCAGGGATGTTCTGGCTTCTCCCCAGTGCCTCGGGAGCTCCCTGCCCTGCTCCAGCCCACCTTTATTAATGTCACACTGGGAAATGTCAGCCGGGTTTGCTGAGCATCCCACGGCGCTAAGCCCTCCCGGCTGCACCGGCTGCCGTGCCCATGCACGTGGG